GGCAGAGGAGGAGATCACCGCGCTCAGGGTGAGGAGGAGAGGAGAGAGGAGGAGAGAGGAGGAGGAGAGAGAGAGAGAGGAGGAGGAGGAGAGGAGGAGAGGAGGAGGAGATCACCGCGCTCAGGAGAGGAGAGAGGAGAGAGGAGGAGAGGAGAGGGGAGGAGAGGAGAGAGGAGGAGATCACCGCGCTCAGGGTGAGGAGGAGAGGAGAGGAGAGGAGGAGAGAGGAGGAGGAGGAGGAGGAGAGAGGAGGAGAGAGGAGAGGAGAGGAGAGAGGAGGAGGAGAGAGGAGAGGAGAGAGGAGGAGATCACCGCGCTCAGGGTGAGGAGGAGAGGAGAGAGGAGAGAGAGGAGAGAGGAGAGGAGGAGAGAGAGAGAGAGAGGAGAGAGGAGGAGGAGGAGAGGAGAGGAGAGGAGAGAGGAGAGAGGAGGAGGAGGATCACCGCGCTCAGGAGGAGGAGAGAGAGGAGAGGAGGAGGAGAGGAGAGGAGGAGAGGAGGAGAGAGGAGGAGGAGGAGGAGGAGAGAGAGAGATCACCGCGCTCAGGGTGAGGAGGAGAGGAGAGGAGAGGAGGAGGAGGAGAGAGGAGAGGAGGAGAGGAGGAGAGGAGGAGAGCGCTCAGGGTGAGGAGGAGAGGAGAGGAGGAGGAGGAGGAGGAGAGAGGAGAGAGGAGGAGGAGGAGGAGAGAGAGAGGAGGAGGAGATCACCGCGCTCAGGGTGAGGAGGAGAGGAGAGGAGGAGAGAGAGGAGGAGGAGAGAGGAGAGGAGAGGAGGAGAGAGGAGGAGATCACCGCGCTCAGAGGAGGAGGAGGAGGAGAGGAGAGAGAGGAGAGGAGGAGAGAGGAGGAGAGAGAGAGGGAGGGAGAGGAGAGGAGGAGAGAGGGAGGAGAGGAGAGGAGAGGAGGAGAGGAGGAGGAGGAGGAGAGGGAGGAGAGGAGAGAGAGGAGGAGAGGAGGAGAGAGGAGGAGAGAGGAGGAGGAGGAGAGAGAGGAGGGAGAGGAGGAGAGAGAGGAGAGAGAGAGGAGAGAGGAGAGGAGGAGAGGAGGAGAGAGGGAGGAGAGGAGAGGAGAGAGGAGGAGGAGGAGGAGATTCAGTTCATGTTTCTGTTTCAGATTTGAGTTTTTCTTCTTCAGAATCACAGAGACGAAATCCAGAGGAAATTTGACGCTCTGAGAGACAGCTGCTCTGTGAGTCCTACACCCTACATCCTAACTCCTTCATCCTACACCCTACCCCCTACATCCTACACCCTACACCCTAACCCTACACCCTACCCCTACACCCTACATCCTACACCCTAACCCCTACACTCCTACACCCTACACCCCCCCTACATCCTACACCCTAACCCTACATCCTACACCCTACACCTAACCCCTACACCTACACCCTAACCCCTACATCCTACACCCTAACCCTACACCCTACACCTACCCCTACCCCTACACCCTACACCCTAACCCCTACACCCTACACCCTAACCCTACATCCTACACCCTAACCCCTACATCCTACACCCTAACCCCTACACCCTACACCCTAACCCCTACACCCTACACCCTAACCCCTACACCCTACACCCTAACCCCTACATCCTACACCCTAACCCCTACATCCTACACCCTAACCCCTACACCCTACACCCTACACCCTAACCCCTACATCTTACACCCTAACCCCTACATCCTACACCCTACATCCTACACTCTAACCCCTACACCCTACATCCTAACTCCTACATCCTACCTCCTACACCCTACACCCTACATCCTACACCCTACATCCTACCTCCTACACCCTACATCCTAACTCCTACACCCTACCTCCTACACCCTACATCCTACACCCTACATCCTAACTCCTACATCCTAACTCCTACATCCTACCTCCTACACCCTACATCCTAACTCCTACCTCCTAACCCCTACATCCTACACCTAACCCCTACATCCAGCACCCTAACCCCTACATCCTACACCCTAACCCCTACATCCTACACCCTAACCCCTACACCCTAACCCCTACATCTTACACCCTAACCCCTACATCTTACACCCTAACCCCTACATCCTACACCCTACATCCTACACCCTAACCCCTACATCCTACATCCTACACCCTACACTCTAACCCCTACACCCTACACCCTAACCCCTACATCCTACACCCTAACCCCTACATCCTACACCCTAACCCTTACTTCCTACACCCTAACCCTTACTTCCTACACCCTAAACCTTACACCCTAACCCCTACATCCTACACCCTAACCCCTACATCCTACACCCTACACTCCAACCTCTACATTCTAAACACTACACCCTACACCGTACCCCTAACCCCTCTATGCTGCTTTATCCCTGACCTCTGACCCTCCTGACCTCTGACCTCTGACCCCGTGTGCTGCAGGTCATCACGGACCTGGAGGAGCAGCTGACTCAGCTGAGTCAGGAGAACGCAGAACTGAACCGTCAGAACTTCTACTTGTCCAAACAGCTGGACGAAGCTTCAGACGAGTCAGAAGATCGACTCCAACTGAGCCAAGAGGTGGAGCGGCTGAGGAGGGAGGTGGCCGACCGCGAGATGCACCTCAACAACCAGAAACAGGTACGAAAACCAGGAGGAGGAGACGAGCAGGTGATGGACCCTCCTCTACTAATGTTACATAGTGCAGCTTTAAAGGTTGTATAGAGGATTTTTTTAAGGGAAGAGAACTACAGCGACAGTTCTTTTTCAAATGTTCCTCCTCCACAGCTCCCTCAGTAGAAACATCTCCTCCCGCCTCCTTACTCTAGAATTCCTCTTCTCTTCTTCTTTCAGCGATCTCGAAAACGGACTTTCTTTTCGCGGCGAACTGGTCGTGGATTCTCATCCGCCGTCGCAACAAACTTTGTGCGAATTGCGATGAAGCTACGGTTTAAAAAAGTCTCTAAGAACCGCCGCATAAACCACGTAATCCCAGCGCTCCGCCGAGTCAGTTACACTAGAAACGTAGGGAGTTTGATTGACAACCTAACAGCCAATAGAAAATGAGGTAGCCTTGTTTTCTATTGGCTGATGTTTATCTGGCCTCACCACGTCCACATTTGATAGATTTTCATTCTTTTTTTTTTTGGTCATCATAATTACAAGGCTGCTGCATCTCTGTAACGGTATTTTAAACTTTCATTGACAATTTGAAACAAAACAAAAATCCTCCATACAACCTTTAATATGATCAAACATCTCCACAACAGGCTGGGCCTTCAGAACATGGTAAAAAATAAAGCTCCAGATCTTCTGGAGCAGAACCTGCTTTAGGTTTTATCTCCAAAAGATGATTTAGGAAGAAATGTGGAAGATAAAGGAGATGTTTCAGAGGAGCTCATGAAGACAAAAACAAACACACAGAAGAGCTGCACTTCACAACAAACTTTGAGACGAGTTTCAGTTCGTGTTTGTAGAAGAAAATGACACTTGATTGAAACAGGCCTGAGTTCTTTGGTTCTGTTCTCGTTTAGGTCTCAGGGACATTTTCAAGAGTCTCCAGCAAAACTCTAAATATTGAGTCTGCATAAAATTTGGACTCAGATATTTTGGTCAGAGATGAAAACAAACGCAGAGAGAGAATCTAGAGAATCTGAAAAAATACATTTTGAACCACCCTACTCCACATCCAGAAACCACTGAGTGTTGAGATGTTCTGAGATGTTCCTCTGCTTGTCTCGTGACGTTCTGTGATGTTCTGTGATGTTCTGTGTTGTTCCTCACGTCCTGGTTCAGAACATCGAGACCCTGAAGACCACGTGCAGCATGCTGGAGGAGCAGGTGGTGGAGCTGGAGAGTCTGAACGACGAGCTCCTGGAGAAGGAGCGACAGTGGGAGGCCTGGAGGTCGGCTCTGGAGGACGAGAAGAACCAATCAGAACGAAGAACCAGAGACCTGCAGAGGGCGCTGGACACCGAGAAACAGAACAGGTATTTAAGACTGAAGAACATCCACAAACTGTTGAAAGAAAGAGGATTTTATCATGATCGGATCAGAATCGGATCGAGTATCGAGTCTGGAGTGTGTGTGTGTGTATGTGTGTGTATAGTGTGTGTGTGTGTGTGTAGTGTGTATAGTGTGTGTGTGTGTATGTGTGTGTATAGTGTGTGTATAGTGTGTGTGTGTGTATGTGTGTGTATAGTGTGTGTATAGTGTGTGTGTGTAGAGTGTGTGTGTATAGTGTGTGTGTATAGTGTGTGTGTGTGTGTGTGTGTATGTGTGTGTGTGTATGTGTGTGTATAGTGTGTGTATAGTGTGTGTGTGTAGTGTGTGTGTATAGTGTGTGTGAATAGTGTGTGTATAGTGTGTGTATAGTGTGTGTGTATAGTGTGTGTGTGTGTGTGTGTGTGTGTGTATAGTGTGTGTGTATAGTGTGTGTGTGTGTGTGTAGTGTGTGTGTGTGTGTGTGTGTAGTGTGTGTAGTGTGTGTATAGTGTGTGTGTATAGTGTGTGTATAGTGTGTGTGTGTGTGTGTGTGTGTATATGTGTGTGTGTGTGTGTGTATAGTGTGTGTGTTATGTGTGTATGTGTGTGTATAGTGTGTGTGTGTGTGTGTGTGTGTGTGTGTGTGTGTATGTGTGTGTGTGTGTGTGTGTATAGTGTGTGTGTGTGTGTGTGTGTGTGTGTAAGTGTGTGTGTATAGTGTGTGTTGTATAGTGTGTGTATAGTGTGTGTATAGTGTGTATAGTGTGTGTTAGTAGTGTGTGTGTGTGATGTGAGTGTGTGTGTGTATAGTGTGTGTGTGTGTGTATAGTGTGTGTGTATAGTGTGTGTATAGTGTGTGTGTGTGTGTGTGTATAGTGTGTGTGTGTGTGTGTGTATAGTGTGTGTGTGTGTGTGTGATAGTGTGTGTATAGTGTGTGTGTGTATAGTGTGTGTGTGTGTGTATAGTGTGTGTGATATGTGTGTGTAGTGTGTGTATAGTGTGTATAGTGTGTGTGTGTGTGTGTGTGTATAGTGTGTGTGTGTGTGTGTTATAGTGTGTGTGTATGTGTATGTGTGTGTGTGTGTATAGTGTGTGTATAGTGTGTGTGTGTATAGTGTGTGTGAATAGTGTGTGTATAGTGTGTGTGTATAGTGTGTGTGTATAGTGTGTGTATAGTGTGTGTGTATAGTGTGTGTATAGTGTGTGTGTATAGTGTGTGTGTGTGTGTGTAGTGTGTGTGTATAGTGTGTGTATAGTGTGTGTGTGAATAGTGTGTGTATAGTGTGTGTGTGTATAGTGTGTGTGTATAGTGTGTGTGTGTGTGTATAGTGTGTGTGTTTGTGAGTGTGTGTAGAGCCCGACCGATATATCGGTTGGCCGATATTATCGGCCAATATGGGTACCTGGAGACATATCGGCTATCGGCCAATATGCTCGCTGATATGGGCCAATATTTCACGTGGGCATGTTACACCTCGTTATAAAGCTTAGACTCTCTACATTCTGTTCATTTAATCCAATTTACAGACAGATAAATGTCCTCATATGTGACTCCACATCAGTATTTATCTACGGAGTCATTTGTGTGTGTCGTACTGTCCCTGAACACACCACAGAGTCACTTCACTCACGTGTGTTTGTTTACACCTGCAGCCACAGATCCAAACACTGAGATTATTTTCTTTTTTCGGACAATCGGTTTGAGTCTGGATTAAAAGGACATTTATTAGTGCAGATTTGTGATGTGGGAGGAGCCTGTGTGATGTGGGAGGAGCCTGTGTGAGCGGTGAGTGTTGGAAATACATCGACTTTGAAGCTAGTTTAGGTTTTGTTAGCGATTAGCTGCTGTAGCTCCCGCACATAAACAGGCTGTTTTCTATTGGTCTATTGTAAAGTGACTGTATTGATCGTATATTTGTTATTGGACCAGTATTGATATGTAAATGAGCTGTGAATAGACGTGTGAATGATCCACATTTATGCATATAATTAATTACTGCAGCGGTTTTTACGGCTAAAGGCTAATAGCGATAGTTTACTAGCAGGAG